AAAGAGGGCAGAAAAGAGTATTCAACCACAACAGTGATGTGCAATCAACAGAGCAAAGTTCTTATTACCTGTCAATGTAGAACTCTTAAACAGGGATAGCACAGCTGCCTGATCAGCAGCCGAGAGGCTATCCCAATTAGATAGCTTTTCAACCTGGATAGTCGAAGATATTTCAGAGAAACACTTTGCATGATGCCATGCCAGCGACTTAGCACGTTGACCTTCAGGTTTTGATGATATGCGTACCTAACAACAGATAGAAAGTATTTAAGAAAATATAGTGCACTGTCCAGTTTATACTTTATGAGCAGGTGATATGATATTCAAAGCACTGACAATGTTACAGATCTGCATACAATCTTTTAAACTACATCATTTTTCATTTAATTTTGAGAAAAAAGCTTGTCTCATGCCTAGATATTATTCTTTGTATAAAATAACATTTTCTCTATAAGTAGAGAGAAAAATGACCCAAGAAACACATACTGTTCAGGTGCTTGCACCAAAAAGAACAGAAGCCCTGATGATTTATGGCAATGTTCAACCAAGACCAACTAATATATCCCCAGGAAAGGAATTACGGCAGATTCATAATTTAACAAAGAATTAGACAATTAGTAGTAGTAGTAGTAAAGCATACTAAGTGACAAAACCAACCTCCCCTTTAACAATCTTTTGGTTGCAGTGCCGACAGGAAGCACGGGAGGCTGGAGATACTTCAATACCACATTCCACTGCAGCCGGAGTAGGGATGTTTGAGGATCCACCAACCTGTACATATTCCCTTATCTTCTGCTGATCCTCCCACCGCAACTGGTCAACCCCTTCAACATCTTCAAGGCTAACACCAAAATGCAAGTCAATGGAAAATAAATTTCTTTCTAGTATCACCAAACCACAATTTAACAGTAATATTTGGAAATGGAAGCGGCATACGATTTTATCTGTTTTGCTTTCCTCAAGATGCAGTTAGCATGATGCCACATCTGAATCAAAAAACAAGAACCAATTAAATGGACAAAAAGTGGAGTGATAAAAGGAAGATCAGTGACAACATAAAGCAAAACTTAACTAAAAGCTTGTAAACAAGGACGAAAAATGAAAAATATAACAGAAACAAATCTTAAGATTCTTAACTCATTAGCAATGAGTATCATAAGGGAACCTATGATACCAAATTTACCAGTAGAATAAGAGCTACATACCCCAGCAAGTGGTGGTGTTTGAGGCATCAACTAACAAACTAATTTTTTTTAAGGGTCTTCAGATCTCAAGAATCAGCAGGACATAACACATATAGGACTGATAATCATGCTTCCATCAATAGCATACATATACCGTTTGTCTCATGTGTAGTTGAAATTTCCCTGTTACCCTAGTGGATTAACAAACAAAACTACAATGGAAGCAACTCATATCATCAACTTGTGCTTCGGTTATCGCATTATTTTGTTGTTTTTATCATTCCTTTGTTGTTGTTAAATGCTATATAATGTTTTCCTTGTTATTTGCTATGTCTTCTCGGCTTTTGTATTTTCTTTTTCAAACTGCTTTCATTACTTGAGTCAAAGGTCTTTAGTAAAGAGCCGCTCTACCTCCATGAGGCAAGGTTAAGGTCCGCATACACCACTGAGTATGTTGTTGTTGTAACCATCCACCGAATTTCTAATTCTAACAATAACTCACCAAGTCAAAATAGTGCACACAAGAGTGAGTTTCACCATAATGTCTACCTTTCCCTATCCTAGAAAACTGATCATGTCCCCATGAAGTCCCCATGAAGTGTATACCCACATCAAGCATGTGAAAAACGAAATGGGAGAAACCCACACAAGACAAAAAAAAAAGTAAACAGGCAAAAACTTCCAGAAAATTACTTTAGAGAAGAAAAAGAAAACAATAAAATAGGCATGGAAAAGGTCCAAAGTGAAAAGAAATTCAAAATAGAAAAGAAAGAGATGAATTTCAAAACAAACACTGCAAGGTGAAAAATTGGAAATGGAAATTGAGACATACCGGCATTAATCCATCAAAATGAGTGGATTGGACCATTTTTCCAATTCTGAAAACTTCTTTGTCAATAATACTTTTGCAAGTTTTGCATGCTGAACGCGATGATTTTGCATACTCAGCTTTCCATGGCTTCGGAGGATTCGCCATTTCCGCAACAATTTGCTCTTTCGGGTGTTTGTATATTCGTTCCTGCTTAGCTCTCTCTGTGTGTCGCTGTTAATGCAGATTATGTATGGGGAAATAAGAGTGGCGTCACACTCACCGGAGTGACGAAAGGGGAATCTCTTGAATCTTTAAGCTTGTCTGAGAAGCTTGTGGCATTGCTCTATTCGACTGTGGACCTAATGGGCTCTATTTGAACCCCAAAACCCTCTTTCTTGTTTTTTTTTGTTTTTTGTTTTTTTTTTAGTTTTGTAGGATCAGATATTTTGTCTTTCGATTATTTTGGTTTCTTGAGGGTAATTATCTAAATTCTATTTATTTAGGAGTTAATTATTTAGATACACTTTAGTTTACAATATTATGTATTCTATCAGATTTTGACACATTTTGATACATGTATTTCGAATATATGAGGTCAAATTTATGTGTAATTTATTTTTAGATACGTTGTATTCACGTAAATTCGCTTGTATCTAGATTTCTTTCGCCTATTTTGTTTTTCTTTTATCTCGCTCGCCACTCTCCCATGTATTTGTTATCTCATATACATGTGAATCACTTCAGTTACACGTAACTAGTGTGATTCACGTGTATTTTGGGAACATAAGAATCTTGCTCGCTTCTCTCCTCAATCTCACTAGTCTTTCTCCCTATTTTTGCATATCTGATAGCAAAAATATATGTATCTAAGTGTAAGATAGGTAGGAAATTCTTAATTAGTGATAAGATACTTAATTTTGAAAGTATATAATAATAGTATATACGGTAACAATCTTGAGTTAGCAACAAAAAAGGGGCTTGTATTTTATTTTATTTTTTGAAAACAGACCAACATTTATAATTTTATAATCAATTCTCCCGTATATGAGATATTCCGTGACAAATGTATATAAAATTAACAAAATATTGTGTATATATATTATGTTATTACGTATAGAATTTTTTTAAAATATCATAATATTTTAAAAACAATTTTGGTCATCCTTTTAAAGAAGGGAAAATTACGCAGTTAAGCAAATTTATACTACTTAATTACTCATCATAGCTATAGTTTGCTATAATTATCATTCACAACTAATATTATACATTAATTACGCGGGCTGACTTCGAGTTTGTATAATTTGCCACATTTGTATATGTATAATTCGCCAGAATATACAAATACATATGTATAATATACAATTATCTAACCTTTATACATATACAATTCACGCCACGTTTGTATATGTATAATTCGCCAGAATATACAAATACATATGTATAATATACAATTATCTAACCTATATACATATACAATTCACCTCTCTCCCACTCTCTGCCCTCTCTCGCTCGCCTCTCTCCTCCCTCTCCCAATCTCGCTTGCCATATATACAAATACATATGTATAATATACAATTATCTAACCTATATACATATACAATTCACCTTTCTCCCACTCTTTGCCCCCTCTCTCTCCCAGTCTCCCTCACCTCTCTCCTCCATATAACATGTAGCTACGAATTGTAATTATCAAACTATAGCTATAGAGAGTAATTAGGCTATTTTTGAGTGGCTAAATGTGAAAGTTTCCCTTTAAAGAATGAAAACTTTAAGAAAGCGTTTGTGCACAAGATCTCATATTAGATTTAGGAGTTCTTGGTTTTAATATATAAAACATGACCATTTAATGTTTTATTAATTTAGTAAAAGAAAATAGAAAATGAAATGAAGGAGGAAATAGGAAACTACAAATAAAGTCTCGTGATTCTCTACTCTTTTTAGGTTATTAATTATTTTCTTAATACTCCCTCGTCCCATTTTATATGTCACATTTTTACTTTGCACTTCCATTAAGAAATGATGTAATTTTACCCTTCTATTCTTATTTAATGTTTTCTTAAGTCAAATTTATTAATAAATGACAAGATTTATTAATTATTCTATCAAGGGTATAATAGGCAAAATATGGTAAATTATGCATAAATTTTATAAAATGACAAATATTGCGGTCCAACTATTTATAGAAAAGGATGACATATAAAATGGGACAGATGGAGTATTGTAAATAGATACGTAGAGGGTGTTTGAATTGACTTAAAAGTTGGTCAAACTTACTTTTAAGTCAATTTTTTACTTCTGGAGAATTTGACAAATATAAAAAATAACTTAAAATAATAAAAAATGACTTAAAATAAGTTAGGAAGTGTTTGACAAGATAAAAATGAATTAAAATAAGTTCAAAATGAGTTAAAATAAGTCAAAAACTAAAAGTATATTTCTTCCTATTTTTATTTTTGACTTAAAAATCATTTCAATTTGACTTTAAAGCTACTTTTTAAGCTAATTCAAACGTCATATTTCTATAATTTAGATTTCTTATCAATAAAACTATAAACACAAGAAGAAGAATATTATTGAAAGTAGCATTTAACATTTAAATAAATACTATACATTTTAATAAATAAATAAATATTATATCTCAAATATATTATTGTTTGTTGTGTCTCATCTGTTTTGCAAACGAAAAGACCAAACTAATATAAATCTCGAAATTTAACTATGCCAAATAAATTGAGACATAATGAATAATTTGAAAACTCATAGATAAATCTCTATACACGTGAAACTCTATATTTCTTGTGTGTTTATACCAAAAGAAAATCACAAAAAAATAGACAGAATTGCAAATAATCCCCTAGTTTTCTCCAAAGTCTTTTCCGGTTATCAGCGTCACAAGGCCCAATTAAGATACAGTTGAAGGCCCAGTAATATGAGAAAAGCCCATTAATTCTATATAAATAACAAATTGGAGGGAAATTTTCAATTAGAACAAGGAAGAACAGTTTTTGGCATCCATTGTGCGCTTCAGGTTCCACCATTCTTTCCATTTTTTTTAATTTTTTTTTTGCAATTATTCATTTCAATTCTTTGTAATTGTTTATCTTCACTATCCATTTTTTTCCCTATAATTGATAATTATTATTTTCTCTATTTCATTCATGAAGTATTCAGATGATAGTTACCCTACGAATTCGAAACGCCATAGACTCAATTTTTCTCTACTTCCATGCAAGAAACCTAGAGCCAATGTGTTAAATTCAACATATTTACATATAAAGTCTCTTGGAATTCCTCTAATTCAAAAAACTACTGGTTCTTCTTCTGATACAATACATCTCCGACCCTATAAACCTTACTCTATTGGCCGTAATTACAGCCGCTGTGATTTTATATTCGAAGACCATCGAATCAGTAATATTCATTGTCAGATTCTTTTTGATCCCTTAAATAAGAAATTGTACTTATGCGACGGGTTATTTTTTGGTTCAACTAAGTTTAGGGTTTCGCTGAATGGGGTGTTTGTTAATGGGGTTAGAGTTGCAAAAGGCGAGGTTGTAGAGATTTGTGTCGGTGATGAAGTTTCGCTTGGCTGTGGAAGTCAAGGGGTCTGTTGTATGGGGTTACAGATAGGATTTTGTTTGCAAAAGGTTGTATTTATTCAGGAGGTTGATGATAGGAATATAGTTGGAAAAAATGATGTATTAACCACAGATTGTGTTCCAGTTGGGTATGCAAGTTATGCACTTGCTTCTAAAGCAAATGTGTTGTTGAATATGTGTAGGGAGATATTAAGTAGCAACCATCCTGTGTCGCGTATCCACAAATGTGTTATTCTTGATTATGGAAGGGGAGTTAGATGTCATGGTAAAATTGGAGTCAATGAGGATTTTAATTTCCCAGTGGCTAGTGTTCATGGAGTACAGTCTGGTCAAAAAGCTTGTAGGAAAGAGGTATTTCTTGTTGAGGGTGAACCTGTCCAGGATAGGGAATGTGATTTCCTCAAAGATGTTGCACTTGCTATTGAGGTGGAAACATGTCATCTCGATGGGAAGGGGGCAGAACAAGTCAATAATGACGGAGCATCTCACGAGAATGGTGTCATTGCTATTGGAATAGAGGAAGCTTTATCTCAGGGGTTTATAAGCAAGGAGGTAGTTGGTCTACTTGATGATACAATGAAAAAAGAGGACAGAACTCGTGTTGTTCCACCTCCAGGAAAGAAGTTTGTTTTGAATCGACTGGCTAGTGAAGGGCCACCAAATTTTCTAGAAGATCCTAATGCTGTATCATTGCAGGAGATTCTTTATCCAATTGAGACTCTTGAACAACTATTTATTGCGACATTTACTGCTGATATACCATGGTAGGTCAGACTTTCTTGGTTACATTTTAATTATCTTCTGTTTGAGATGGAGTTCCTTGAAGCTTATAAGGCAACTGACTATACAGAGTCAATATAGTCAATTACATAGCTTGGAATATATGTATATGTCCAGACTACCTAGTTTTTGTTCTTTTCTTTATTCTGAATGGATTTTTTCTTATAGGTTTCTGTCCTACTGTGAGATTCCAGCTGATCTACCTGTTACCATTGCTTGCCACAATGCTGAAAGATGTTGGAGTTCGAGCCCTGATAGAAGAACCTCAAAGCCTTACCCAGATTTTCCAAACTTAGTTGTTGTGTAGGTTGACATACCCCTCCCTCTTCCCCCTTTTTCTTTTCCACTCTGCTTTGCCAATGGTATGCTATCAGGAGCATGCGCTAGAAATGGTTGAGTTTCTTAAACTGCTTAGGAATGTAACAACAGACAACTTTTGATCACGTGAATTCATGATTACAGTTATCCTCCATTTCCTGAGGTGATAGCATTTGGTCAAGACCTGAGGAAATCAGGCATTGGTTGCCATCATCCAAAGTTGCTTGTGTTGCAAAGGAGAGATAGTCTCCGTGTTGTGGTCACATCTGCTAATTTGGTGGCAGGACAGGTGCTTGTTTAATCACCTTTCCTCTGTGTTGTCTTGTGTGAATCAAATCATTCTCTCTTATGACCTATTAAATTATTATGTGAACTTGAAAAGAACGTGTTTTTTTTGGCACCAAGTCACCTAGCAATTCAGTTTTTCCTCTTCGTCTTTCCCTTTTCGTCAGTACTCTTGTTAATCTTGATAACCTGTTAAAATAAATTGAGAAGAGGAAAAAGAACAAAATTGTGGTGCTCACGATACGGTTAATTGCTATAGGTTTGCCTAATTGAGCATATATAATTTTTTTACACCTGCAACATCGAGTTGGGCTGCGAAGTAGGAGTTAAGAGTCCATCAGATATTCTTGAACAAAGAAAAAAGTAGATTAGAGATTGGCCCCAACTTTGAAAAGTAGTAATCTAGACACTCCGTTCCTTCTGAGGGTTAAAAATCAGTTAAGAAGGGCCCTATATCATATATATATATTTGTTAATCATCTGAGTGTTTGTTCTATGAACTGTCTTCGTCCAGATGTACTAATGTTTTCGACTCAAATGCTGCAGTGGTGCAGAGTTACAAATACAATCTGGTGGCAGGATTTCCCTCGCTTGGATGTACCAGATTACTTGTCACTGTTCACACCAATTTCTGCAGTGGGAAATAATGGACATCTGGTATCTGATTTTGCTGCTCAATTAGCTGGATTCATGGCCTCTTTGGTAGCTGATGTACCTAGTCAGGCACATTGGATCCTGGAGCTGACAAACTATGACTTTAAAGGAAGTGTTTGCTATCTGGTTGCCTCTGTACCTGGAGTTCACTCAAGTCGCATTCCTTGTATATCAAAACCAAAACATTTCTTAGGGGTCAGTGCCCTCTGTCCTTGTGAATTTTTGTCTTGTCTGATAAAGTTTTGTTACATGTCTTTCTTATGGTGAAGTGCCTGATTGAATTGTTATTTTCAGTCACACTGATGATATTTTTGTAGTGTTGCACAGGATTTTAAAGCAATTCCCATTTAGTGTGTAACTGCACGAAAGCAAATATGAAAGCCTCTGTACAGCGATCTTCTTACTTTTGTAGCTTACACCTAATATAGACTAGTGCTTTGTGGTGTTAATAAACAGTACATGTAAGACAAGATATTGCCAGTCATGTGCATGGAAAAAAGATGACTTGGATACCTTTGCACATCAATATAAATATAATTACTGGTGAATTTTGCTTAAATAGCAATACAATCTCTTTCCTTTTCTCTATGTTTTCCCCAAAATAATGTAAAGGTTTGTGATCTCCATTTTACCCAAACGTTTTCCCCAAAATAATGTAAAGGTTTGTGATCTCCATTTACCCAAGCATGGCTCTGCTAATGCATGTGTCCAGCTTTTGTAGGCATGATGGGGTAAGACGAGCTGACAGTACAATCTTAAGGTTGATATTTGAGAAATATAATTTTTTTTCAAAATAAGGAATTGTTACATACAATCTTGTAGAAAGAGTGATAGTTTTCATTGCCTTGGCCCTTGGGGAATAAATTTGTAGAGTGGTCCGAGTTTCTCCCGACAATTGTGTTAGTTTTACGTGTTATATTATCTTAAATTTGGAACAGCTCCCTGTTGATTGAGGGTGAAAAAGGTATTCATCTGAAGATTATTTGAATAAATCCACCCCATTACTTTCTAGTTTTATGTTAAGAAAATCTGTTTACCAGTTGTCTGAATAAAACCCATTTCAAAATTCTGATATTAGCAGAAAAAAAGTTCTGCTCTTGTGGGCTTTCGTATCTCATGAGCCGTGTTGTTTTGTAAATTCCCTCATGTATATGGTTCTACTAGTTAAATATTTCTTCAGTGTTTTCTCTCTTTTAAGCTCTTCTATAACCTGGAGGCATTTTATTGGGGTGTGGTTGGTGAAGTGAAGTTTGAAGTGCACTACTCGTAATACTGTAGGGTGATTGTTTGCCAGAGTTATGTCACTTTAAGTCAGTGGGTTCTGTTGAAGCATCAGTGGCTGGTCTAAGTCATCTCTTCCGTACTTCAGCGGATCTTAATGGAGCACGGCTGAAGAAACTTGCAAGTTACCTTAGGAAATGCGGTGAAGATGTATATGGGATGTCAGAGGTTATTCTAAAGAGAGACCCAAATATACCAGCCGATGCAAATGCTGTTAGCATTCATGTACCTAATCCTGAAGATCTTTCTTTAAGGGGTAAATTACTTAACACTTCATATATAAATATTTGAATAGGAATATTAGCTGATTTATACTTTATTTGTGGCATCTGTATTGAAATGTAATGATAAGTATCTTCACTAGGATCAGTTTGATTTCCAAGAAATTTCACTTGTCAACAATTCTTTTTCTCATGTTCAATTCCTTAATTAGAGGCGAGTTTATTATAAATGCCGGTGGTGGCTGTGACATACTAATGGTCAAAGTGACTTGAAGAATAAAATCTAGAAGTAGTTTCAGATAACATTTTAGTAAGAGCTGGATTCCACATTTCACTTTTAGACCTAATTTTAAGAAGTAGTTCAGTCTTGTTCTCATTAGCATCTTACTGTTTTGTTGCTTTGTAAGAGGGGCAGACAATTAAATCATATAGTGCCATAGATTTGAATATTTTCATTTGTGTTCTTCTGATTGCCAAATTATTTTTCTGATTATTAATTTTGAACCAATTCTTTTGCTTTATTGTGTGATAGAATGTGTTCAACTTGGGTTTCTTCCGAAGAATTATGCGAAGTGGGTTGCGCCACTCTCGGACAGTGGTATTTTTGTGTTTTCTGCATATATTTTCCCAAGTGAAGTTCTTAGTGCTGCTTTAGAGGGAAGCGGCAGCAAAGTACAGTTGATACTGCATGTATCACAGGTATTCATCTGTGATACTCTTTTAGATTATTCTATTGAACTGATTTTTCATGTGTCTAGTAGAGTCATATTGAGATCATAACGTGCAGGGTCCATCCCTTTCAGTCATTGCAGAAATTATTAGAGCTGAACATGTTTCTGCAATCTGCTCACTAATTGCATCGCTTCAGAGGTGTTGGGGAATCTGGCGGCTTCAAGAGGTAATTTTCTGAGAAGGTCGGACAATATGTCAAATCTAAACTGATTCTCAATTGGTGCAATTAAAAATAACTACCATGTCTTGGGACTGTGGACATTACTGTCACCATTTTTTTGTGTCAGCCCCGTATAGTTTTCAACCATGGGATTATGGGCACTGCATTATAGTTGTGACAAATGTTGCTTTTAAAATCCATGCTTTGTATCCTCTCATGTTGCCACCCTAAGTGTAGCAGTTGTGTAGACCGCAATCAAGTTAATAGTCTAAAACAGTAATAATTAACATCACAAAAGAAAATTTTCTATGTTACCTTGTTCTGCTTGGACTTTTTTTTTTTTTGGGCTCAAGTGATGGTTTACCTTGGATACCATGGTCTAACAGCTTATGGAGCTTAGGCACGATATAGTTAATTTTATTCTTAACACATTATCCATTGCTTTCACAATTTTCTCAAGATAGCCATTGTTATTCTTAATGCATTGACCATCACTTTCACAAGTTTTTCAAATTTTCTTCGAACTATCTTGTGGTTATTGGGTAAGTCTGATTGTAGGGTGGTGTTCGGTTAAAACATGGCACATTGCACATGATTGCTGGATCTTTGAAGACTTCACTCTTTCTGTGAATTCCTATGAAACGTTTTATTAGCATTATGTAGACACCAATTCTGTTGAGATGCCAAATGTATGTCATTTACAAGTATACTGTTTGAGAGTATCTTGATCTGTTATGGTTGTCTCACAATGAAAAAGGCAAACATTTTAATAGATGCATCATTTTCTTGAAGAACCTAAGTTCGGTATTTTAGGTGTACAATGAGCTGTAGCTTCTTGGTTAGCAGACCTAGAAGCATACAAAAGATTTAAAGTTGGGTAGTGTTTCAAAATGTATGTAGGTGGACGTTGGAACAGTCAGCCGGAACATAAAGTTCGACAGATAATTTGTTTGATAGATAACATCTTTATCTATAACAGTTATGTCCTGACTTTCACATTTCCTTCCGTTGCATCTTGCGTTCAGGTGTTGGGCCAGTTCAAATGGCCGGAACATTTAGAAACTGATTTTGTATTTGGTGAGTGTTTCATGATTACTTGATGATTATTATGCTCAGTCCTTCAAAGTTTATTGAGTTTATCATTTATAATTATCTTTGCCATTTTGTTAAGGAGCATCCTCAATTGGGTCCATCAATGCAAAATTTTTAGCTGCATTTTCAACAGCAGCTGGGAAGCGGTCATCAAGGTTCACTGAATCAGAGGAGTCTGATCCAGATGTGAGTAGCTATCACGAAATTGTATGATTTGGCTCGAGTAATATGTTATTATCAGGTTCAGAGTTTGTCCTTACTTTTTTCTGGCAGTGGGGCTGCTGGAGTGTGAGCCAAGAGTTGAGGAACCCATCGATTAGAATTATTTTTCCTACCATTGAACGAGTGAAAAATGCGAGCAGTGGAATCTTGGCATCCAGACGTATATTGTGCTTTTCACAGGTAGATTAATTTGATCTCTCCTTTCTGTCCTTAAACAATGTTTCTCATTTTAGTTTAAGAAAAAACTATTGTGTCTCTACATCCCAAGGTAGGGATAAGATTTGCGTACACTCTACCCTCCCCGGACCCCACCTGTGGGATTACAATGGGTATGTTGTTAAAAATGATAGTGTCTGACAACTGGAAGAATGAATTTCCTCATTCTTATCATGTTATTGAGCAATCATTTACTCCAATTTAAGTAAAAGGTTTTACTTGATATTTTGTTTCTCAGAAAACTTGGCATCGGTTGAAAACTATGGGCCTTCTGCATGATGCTGTTCCTTATCCTCGCGACAGAATTGGGCATCCCATGCATGTCAAGGTAAAAGCTACCAGAACAGTTGGATTATTTCTTCTATTATACACGTCTGACAGTTAATTATGTTAGTCCTAAGAATAGGATTCTTCTCAAAACTCGGTATCTGCTTGAAAATGCTACATGAGATAGTTTTTGCTTGTTTTTTCCATCGAGGAACAATGAGAAAATCAGTTATTGTTCTATACAAATTGTCCAATTGCTGCCTCACTATCTGATGTCGCTGTTTTGCAGACAAAATTCCTTTTGAGATTTAAAACCAAGTTAAATTGTGTCATGCTTGACTTTCCAATTGCTACTAGTGGTCTAAGTTTTTATTTGCTAAGTTCTTGTGCTGCCGTTTTGGGAAAATCCTGATGCTAATTGCATTCGTAACTCTCAATTAGTGGTTTTATTGTCGTATGGGTGGTTGATATGCCATGGCCAGTTGTCTGCTTAATGTTTATGCTTATCTTATCTTGGGTACTCTTTTATACCATGTTGGTTTCTATTGGAAAAAATGGAGTCTTTTTCGTCTTTTGTATAAATCTCATCAGAAGACTTGTTAGTTTCCTGGGTTCTTGGTTTTTACTAAAATAATTGATAATTGATTTGAGCAGAATATTCTAGACTCAAATAGAGTGCCTTTTTACCTGCAAATCATCATTGTCTGTCAGAGACCCATACCTCACATTGCTCCACCCTACCCCCCACCCCACCCTCACAATTTCTCTAGTTCAGAATAGTGTCAAGTTATGGATTTAAATAATGAGTTCTTATTCATGTTCAGTACTCACTTAGAAGTCCTAATAACAAAAAAAGAGGTGAGCAGGTTGCTCGAAGAAGATTCCAATCGAGGAAAGATGCACCGTCCTTCGGATGGGTTTATTGTGGATCACACAATTTCAGTGAAGCTGCATGGGGGCGTCAGGTTTCTGGTTTACTTGGCAAGAAAATCAATGCAAATAAAAGTTATTCTAGTTTAGGTTCGAGACTTCATGTCTCTAACTATGAACTAGGTATCTTATTCATTACTCCCCCTCCAGATGCTCAAGGCAAGATAAACCAAAGGACGAACTTAGATGATATAGTTTTACCCTTTGTTGTGCCTGCACCAAAATACAGACCGGCAGACAAGCCTGCTACCCCACAGGAGATGAGGGAGGCTTTGATTGAGCAAACTAAGTGCCGGAGAGATGTATGTGAGGCAACAAAAGAGGCGGACGAATGGTTGCAAGAAGAAATTCCCGAGGAAGAGGAAGTGATTGAGGCTACTGATTTTGTTGTTAAGGAGAAAGAAGATGAAAAGGCTTATGCTGAGAAATTATGGAGTCAAGTTGATTCCGCAGAGAAATGTTAGAATCTTATACGAATCACATTCAGGTAGAATAATGTAGGATTAGATATACTGGGGCAAGTTGGTACAAGCTATTCTGATGATACCGAAGTTCAACGTCTCCCTCTCTTATTACTTTAGGGGGTCACATACTGGTGGAATATTAAAATTGTTGTATGATTATAGTTGAAAAAGAGTGTTTAGTAATATAGTTTCGATAATGTGAAAATGTATGTATCATTGTACTTGTAAAGGTAGAGAAAGGGACAATGTGTAAGTTATTTGTTTGTGAACATAAAAAGGGTTGTTGAGGACGTTTGTTTGGACAGTTTCTTTCTTTTGATTTTTCTACCATTGACTTGAGATGTCAAAATCTGCCACGTTTTTTTAAAGTTGGGAAAAAGGTCTGATATATCTTTAATTTTGTCATTTTGATCTGATATACCTTTCGTTATGAAAGTGACTCATATATACCCCTACTGTTATACAAATGACTCACATATATCCTTTTCCTCTAACGGAAGTGAAAAAATTAATTTTAGTATAATTTTTTAATTATTTGAAAAAACTATAATCCCATATGGGTATATTTAATCCTCCTCAAACATATATTATTTTTTTAACTTTTTTTTGTTTCAATGACTAATTTAGATTTATTATTTTGATGGTCAAATTTATTTAAGTTTCGCTAATATTCTTTGTAAAATTTATTATAGATGACCCAATTTTTTTTCTTCAAATACAAAAATTAAATTACAATATATCCGAAAAAAATAATTTTAAATTATAATATAGCAACAAAAAAAATAGTTTAAATTTTTTTTCTTTACACTAAGGAATGAAAGAAAAAAATAAAATAATAATAAGAAACTCAAATAATGATAATCAAGAAGTCAAAAAATAATTTATGTCCGAAAAAAATTATAACATACCTTGAAATTTGCTAGAAAAATCATATATACCCCTAAATGATTTATAAAAAAAAATCAAAAGTCAAATATAAATTTAAAACTAATTTTTTCACTTCCGTTAAATGAAAGGATATATGTGAGCTCATTTTGTAACAGTAGGGGTATATGTGAGTCGTTTGTATAACGATAAGGGTATATATGAGTCACTTTCATAACGAGGGACATATCAGCTCTAAATGACAAAAGTTGAGGGGTATATCAGACCCTTTTCCCTTTAAAGTTTGATGCTGCAGACAAAAACATACCCCAGTATAATCTCACTAGCGGAGTCTAAAGAGGGCAGAGTGAATGCATACCTTACTCCTACAGTACTACTTCACGTAGCAAAAGAGTGTTTTCTTCAAATCCTCGGTTCAGGTAACACTTATTTAAGTTTGGTACTGCAGAATTCTTCAATTTTCATTAATTCTGGAAACTGGAAAGTTATTTTATACAATTATTGATTATTGACCTTAGCTTCTTGAACTGGTTTGCTGTAGTTGACTTTCAGCATCAGTAGTGGTATATAAGAAACAAACTCCGGTTTAGTTTGCTTTCTTATTGACCAAAATAAATGAATAAGAAAAAAAGATTCTCGTGGGGCTGTGGCAAGCAAGAGGAATGGTCTAACACGTAAAGAATTTTGGCAATTTGATTTTAGTATTATGCAATTAATAGATAAAATATAAAAACAAGTACAAAAGAGAGATTAGCAGAATTGCCGTGTAGATGATGATATGTGAAATCTTCCTGGCATTAATAGATATTTTATTGTATTATATTGTTTTAGGAAAAATCCTTTTAGCTAGAAAATTTGATCAAAATGATATTTTTCTTATGTTATTTTACCTTTTAAAGCATTTTTATCTTTTTAACTTTAATATCTTTTAATTAAAAAATGGAAAAAAGATTAGTTTATTTTAAAATAAAAAAATATTATAAGACGAGAGGGAGTTGCTCGGATGGAAAGCACCCCTCACTTTCAACCCGAAGGTTGCGAGTTCGAGTCACCAAGGGAGCAAAAGGGGTGGGGAGCTCCTAGGGAGGGTAAAATTTTTTTTTATAAAAATTATAAACTTTTTAAATTTCTGACCATTTAGCATTACTCATTATTTTAATGAATAAATTATATGTTTTTCATCGTTATATAATGTCATATATTGAAGAAAATCTACTAAAAAGAAGAAAGAGAAATAGGGTACATGTTAGAGCTACTATAAAAAGATATGATATGCAATAAATGATAAAATTAAATTATTAAATAATTAATAAAAACAAAATAATAATTAATATGATAGAATGAAATTTAAATAGGAATTTATTTATTATTTCTTTTTGTCATTATAAATAAATAAATTTAAGTAGGAATCAAAACAAACATTTCACTTGAACTAATAATGTAACAATCATTCAAACAAGTTGTTAGTGGTGTGCCACGTCAAACTCAAAATTAACCCTTTTCATTCATGCATCTTGCTTACGTTTTTGTTTGACTTGATCAAGTGAAAAGAAACAACTCTTTTCTTTGGCTCATGGTGGACTAATAATGGGATGACACATAGGATGGAAAGAGTGATCTTTGGGAAAGAGGATTTGACATCAATTACATACGTACCGTATTTATTTTGAAAGAGTATTTTAAGAGTTTAGGTACTTGAACTATTCAATACACCTGTAATGGAAGTTATGCCTAATTTTATCTAAAGTAAACATGTTACTTATCCAAAATAATAAAATTAAGAAACAGAAACTTAGTATTTTAGAAAAGTTTAATTAATTTATAAGAAGTACGTAAACAGGAAAACAATAAACCTTAAAAGATCATTTTTAAAAATGTGTATAGAGAAATAAAAATGGACATATTTTATCCGCAAGCGAAAGCCTCTGGAAGATGGGAATTTCTATTTTTTGATTAGTAAGGAAAGAAGCCATCCTTTCCGTAAGCTTCTTTTTCTCCTGCCTTGTGTCCAAAGAATTGCGTGCTCCTACTGGATTCTATTATTACTTAATTATATCTCCATCCCTATTCACACACACCCCACCCCTGGGGACCTCAGGCTGGATTAGGCATCATAATTGTAGTTTTTAAAAATAATAATATTAATACAAATATTGAGAAGTAAACAACACTCCACTATTCAATAACGAATATAGTCAATATGTTTGTAAGTTAACTCGATCAAAAAAAAGTTATAAGTAAAGTGTGATACATAAATATACTCTTTTAATTTCGTCTTAATTGACATCTTCTTCAAATTTGAATATGTTTAAGTAGAAACTTAAAATTGTGTAGAGTTGAACAAGTAGATATTCACATCTTACATGATAATTCACGTTCTATGCGGTATCCTAGATATGTGTTCGTCAATTTGTTCAATTTTATACAAATTTAAGTGTGTATTTATATCCATCCAAAGTTGGAGGGCATAAATATCAACTGGTTTCAAAGTATATATATTAATATATTAACTTAATTAACAAAAAATGTTATTGATAATATTAAAGTCTAAAATTTACTTAGTATATACGTTTCAATTATTATATATTGTGTGAGTTGTATAGTGTAATATTATTACAAAAATAATACTATTATCATTTTTTTTGTGGGTAATAAGACATAAAAAACATTTTTTTTTATTTCTCACCCGGTGTTCGAAGTTCATGTTGGAGCTTCGATTAAATTCAAATCACGCACTGTAAACTCCTTTCGGGGATGATGTTCTCAACAAAATTTTCCCCATACCCGGTCTCTAAACAGGAAAATACAATTTGTTCTCTTATTTTTTTTCATTTTGGTAGCAGTATAAAAAAAGACAGGTTTTGGCATGTTCAGAGAAAAGTCATTTTTTCTGGGCACAGACTCTTTTGAACACAAATTTAACACATTTTCTCCCCTTTTTTTCCACCAAAAAAACTTGCCTTTAACGTGTTGTCTTCTCCAATCGCCAATTCCAACTTTTCCGCGAAAGAAATTTAACACAATTTTTCTTATATATATAAATTACTATACAGTTCGTAAATCCTTATAAAAAGTACTTCATCTTCCCCTTTTGACTTTCCATTCTTCATCTTTTTTTTTTCTTTTTTTGTGTGTTGATTTTTAGTTGTAATTTATATTTACCTGAAGAATTTTGTGGGTGTTCTTCAATGGAGTTATCGTGTTCTTCTCCACTTTCTGTCAACTCTACTATCAGCTTCAATCGATATGTTTCTGTGTACCCTCATAGGAGATGTCAAAGTGTTCTCTCCCTTTTCCCATATTGTCCTCCTCCTTCTTCTCATGTTGCTACCACAGCTACTGCTTCTGCTGCTTGTAGTACTAGCAGTTCTACTTCGACCCTTTTTGGGATTTCCCTTTCTCATCGACCCAGCAGCTCTGTTTCTCGTAAAATCAAGCGTTCTTTGTATATTGTATCTGGGGTGTTCGAGAGATTTACCGAGAGATCGATTAAAGCTGTGATGTTCTCCCAGAAGGAAGCAAAGGCTTTGGGTAAAGATATGGTGAACACCCAACACCTTTTACTTGGTCTTATCGCGGAGGATCGGAGTCCTGGTGGGTTTCTTGGTTCTCGGATAACTATTGATAAGGCCCGTGAAGCTGTTCGGAGCATATGGCTTGGTGACTCAGAGGACGATACAGCAAAATTGGGTTCTCAGGACTCCGCTTCTGCTACCTCAGCTACTGATGTGGCCTTTTCTTCAAGTACCAAGCGGGTTTTTGAGGCTGCGGTTGAGTATTCAAGGACCATGGGGTATAATTATATTGCTCCTGAGCATATTGCTATTGGTTTGTTTACTGTTGATGATGGCAGCGCTGGTCGTGTGCTCAAGAGGTATTACTTGTAGTCGCTTAAAGAAATCCTTTTTTTTACCATCTAGTAATTTTGTTTTCTGTATATGAACTGTTCGTTTTTTGATTGAGCAAGCAATAGTGGATGAGGAGACTATGTAAGAACAAAAGTAGTATGCTTTTTGATCAGCAAAAACGTCTTGGGATCACGAATAGATTAGCTAATGCTGCTTATTTTGAGATCCAAAATAGCTTCTAAATTTGAGGAACAGAAGGTTGTCTGTGACTGTTTAATAGGAATCAAACAACTTGTAGTTCCATACTAGGAATGGAGTTAGGAGATTCGGTAGAAAATCGTCCTTAACTCATCTATTCTTGCTTGCCATATTTTACATTCTGGATACAATTCCATTTAGTGCTGTTCTGGCTCCCAAGGCATAGAAGATACCAGAGAGTGATAACAATGCATACTGATTTCTTGTGTGTTGTAAAATTTATATTCTACAATGCAATCAGCTTGGTCAATATTCCTCTTTACCTTCCTGATTGAGTGTAATATGCCTTCTGTCTTGCAATATGATTATCTTT